CCCGCTAATATCGAATATTATTTCTTCGAACGACGCCGCGAATCGGACGAGTCGAGTCGCCGATGTCGCGAATTATTTTCACAGAAAATACAATTCCGATCGAGAAACGTGTCTGCGAACGCGACACGAGTAGCATCCGACGAATAAACGGCGACGTTGACGTGAGAACGATTCTCCGCCGTTCTCGGCGAATGGAAACGAGCCGAACTTTTGCGACGACACCGTCGAAAATGAAACGCGTATCCCTGCGTGCTCGATCCTCCCGCGCATTTCCGGTTTCCTCCTTCGTCGTGCCGCAAGCCCAGGAACAAAAGGACGCGATCGCGCGTCTCGTCGAGTTTCTCCCCGACCCCGAAAATCCAAAACAAATCTGTTCACGCCTCCGTGAGTTGACGCGCGCTCGCCGCCGAGGAATGTCGACGATCCGCGTCTCTTCGAACGCGTGTCGGCTACACCATGGAATAGTTTCGAGTTTCTCTCGGAGAATTAGTTCCCGGCTAACGCTTCGATTAATACTGATTCCCGCCAATGGCGACGCGGGTCGACGGGTCGAGGAGCATCCCCTCCACCGTTCGCCTGTTTCCCGCGAGTCGCGAAGCGATCGAACGATCCGCGGAACGTCGACAACAAGCGCTCCGGTTAATTCACAATGTTCGACGCGGATGCTCGCAGAAGTATAACCTTGCCGCTCGATGAAAGGAACGCGTGGCAAACGATAATTTAGGAATCGCCGTCCGACCGAAACCTCGTTTCGATCTTCTTCGATCCTCCTGTTCGCTCGAATCTGTTCGCAGAAATTTGCGAACGCGTCGCGCATCGATATTCGAGGCGGCGCACGGTGGCCGGTTTCCATGCAAAAAGCGGAAAAAAGTTTCGAACGATATCCCCGTAACGCATAATTTATTCCCTAGTGGGCGAGTAAATGTGTGGCTGATTTTTTTTGGCGGCGGCTGAAACGTGCCGGAGTTTCCGATGGAAAAGGAGAGGGGGAAGCGTTTCGTCCGGGACACGCTAGAGGACTCGTCGGTAAGGCTGTTCTAGCGGGCTCTCGCCATAGACGTAGGACGAACGATGTTTGTATGTATACAAACCGAGGTGGATCGGTTACGTGCGGGAAAGAAGAATCCGTCTGCTGGCGGGCGAGTCTGGAGAGGTAGCCGTCACGTTATTATTATTTATCGCGATCTTTTTCATCGTTTGTTCATTTTGTACACGGGTACGAATCATCCTAAATTTATATCGTCGTTTGTAATTATTTCGTTCTTTGAAAGTAAATAATTTTTACAGAATTTAACGTATCTAGTATGTACTTAGATTGTGTCACGTAATTTATCGATGTTTCAACTGTTCGCATTCTACCGAAACCAACGAGAATAATTATGAATTATCTTTCTTTTTATTATACGCAGAAAAGAACGATCAAGAAATCGAAACCATTTCTCGGAGAAACGATCGAATCACAGGTTTCGGAACAACGTGAAGACAGAGGGACGTTCGATTCAAGAAATCGTATTTTTAAGAAATTTGCATATAAACAATTGAAACGCTGCATTTCGAATTCATTATTTTATCCCAACAAAAACCCAAATATATATACTGGTAATATAAAATGAAAAAGTATATAATTTTAGTTGTCGCATCTTCTTTCCACTTTTTCTATGGAAACCGACCGCTGCGCCGGCGGCTGGAAGAGCGTGCCGTCGTCTCCGACGAATCTTTCCGAATAAATAAGACGTAGAAACCGAATATCGCGAGCGAAACAACGGATCGAATCGAACGATCGCTTCGTCGGATTTTTCTGTACGGGAACCGTTTTCTTCCGCGTCGTCGGTGCAGGAAAAGCGAAACTGGTGGCGACGAGTCTCGAGCCTAGAGTTTTCGCGTTCGAAGTTCTCGTAGTCCGCGTCTCGTTTGATTGTTTTCCCCCAACCGGTCGGAACGACATTTTATGATAATTACTGGACCGCGAACGTTTATACGAATACGCAGTTCCACCGAGCAAATTCCACGGACCGATCCGCAGTCCGGTAATAGCTAGCTATTGTTCGTCTCGGCGGTGGAATCCGATCGCTCTCGATTCCTTCGGTTATCGTTCGGCGAACGCCGGTTTTAATTGTCTAGGACTTCTTCGAAGCGTCGGACCGTCGAACCCGAGCCCCGAAGCTCCGACGACGAACGAGACACCATTGCGCGCGCACTCCGGGAGCTTATCGTATTACATCGAGAACAAACGGCAGGCGTTGCGCTGCCGAGAACCGGCCGAAAACAAAAACACGAGAAACTCTGCTTTCCGGTGTAACGTTATCGTTCGATCGGCCGGTCGCTGATCTCGCGTTCCGTCGATTCTACGATCGCGGATCGCGGGAAAACTACAGGGTGTCCCGGAAATGTCTTGCAATCCGGAAATGGGAGGTTCCTGAGGTCATTTGAAGCAACATTTTCCTTTGCGACAATTTTCTCCGAGGCTTCGTTTACGCGTTATTGACGAAAAACACTGGCCAATAAGAGGCGCGCATTGGCTTGGCCGTCTCGCGCCAAATGATCACGCCGTCTGATTGGTCACCGTTTTTCGTTAATAACTCGTAAACAAAGCCGCGGATCACATTTTCTCTGAGGAAAACGTTGCTTCAAATGACCTCAGGAACCCCCTACTTTCGGATTGCGAGACATTTTTGGGACACTCTGTATAATACGAATGATAAATAGAACGATTCGATGCTGCGAACACACCATCGAAGTGTCGTGAAATGTAAAATTCCGAAAATTATTCGACGGCTGATCCCCGAGCGCTTACATTTCGTAATCGCCGGAAATGCTGAACGAAAAAACAGGCTTGATCCTGATCGAGCTGCTAGGTTCGAGCAGAACGTCCGGCGCGCGAGCAGCAGCTCCGACCTTTTTCCCTTTCTCTCTTTTACTGTCGAACTAACCTAGGATTTCGATGGTCCTGACACGAGTGCCAAACAAACGGAGCTCTATCGCGGATCTGCGACGGAAAGCCGCGGTCGAACCGATATCTTCGAACACATCCGACAACCCGATCGATTTTGATCCGAAAAAGATCAATCCGAAAGAATCGAATATTATCGACGCTTTCGCGACCGCGACGAAAATCTCGAGATTCGATTCGATCGAGCGAAAATTGTAAAGCGAACTCGTACGGCATCGATTACCTTGTCGACGTGCGTCGACCTCTTGCAAATCTTGATAAAACGAAGAAATTATAACGTCGATCAGCGCGAAAATCAATCGTGAGAAATTCAATTTTAATTATTATTGGCTGACGCGTCGGTCAATGTGTTATCAGAGTTTAATCAAGACTCGATTAATCGAGCCGTTTATTAATTATTAACCCTTTGCGGACGAGTGTCGGCAAATAGCCGCCCAAGTCTTTTTACCGGTTTTTTTTTTAATTAATTTATTAACACTATGCCGTCCGATGGCACCATGCTGGTGCCATGCAAAAACTATCTGTTGTATGCCGGTGGTACCACTTTCGTGGCATTTTAAAAAACTGAAATAACATTTGAACTATATTTCTTGGCAGCGAACTAACTATAGCATTGTGCTTATTTCACTGAGAATTAAGTACGAAAATTCTTGGATGACTTATCTTAATTTTAGGAATTTATATTACCGCCATCTTCGAAATTTTTTTTCAAAATCTACAATTTCCAAGCTATTATGCCGGCGTCGAACAAAAGAATCATATCGAAGATCTGCGGACGGCACAGTGTTAATTATCAATGTATATTTATTAATTTAACCGTAAGTTCAGAACGAATTTCAGTTTGACGAGTCAGTCTTTCTGTGTCGCTACCAGAGTGACCAGTAAAGTTTTCCACATATTTACAATCTTATAACAATATAATTATATCTTACAACATTTTTATTTTATATCCAATACCTGTCGTCCACAGCGACGCAATACCCGTCGAGTGGCTTCGTCCGCGAAGGGTTAATCGAGAGTTTTGTAAAGAAAGAAAAATTATTCGACGGATTGCAAGGAACTCCGGGTCGAGACTGATCGACGGCAACGAAACGAAGTAAGCGCGGAACGAGGGCCACGCGTTGCCACGGTAAAAGTGGGAGATTTCCACGTTCGGTCAATCGAGCGACTTCGTTCGAAACGTGGAGATCTCCCAAATTCGATCGGCCGATCGTAAGCGTTGACGAATATGCCGGGAAGATTCTACGGATCTGCTTCTCGAGATTCTAGTTGCGATCGAATTCTCCGGTCTCGATTCTCCTCGGTCTACCGCGAACGTACCTACTATCTAGCTCCTAAATCGAATACAATCGTCGCGATATCGTTGAACCGAATACGTTTCTTCTCATTATGTACACTGGTGGCTTAACCTACGTTAGGCACTGTGGTTTGGTATGCGAGGGTACACACGCGTATGAATCGAGCCCCCGCTCTCTCGCGTGAGAAAGAGAAGAGGAATCGGTTCCGTTAGTCGGGTCTAGCAACTGGGCCGCGATCGCGGTCAGAATATTCTCAGAGTGCAACCTCCGTGTGTATATAAATGCGTAAATAGTTAAGAAAATATATATATATATATATGTATGTATATATAACTATATGTACATATACACACGTATACATAGATATCTATATTATAAATATGTATCTACAGGGTGTCCCGAAAATGTCTCGCAATCCGGAAATGAGAGGTTCCTGAGGTCATTTGAAGCAACTTTTTCCTTTGCGACAATTTTCTCCGTGGCTTCGTTTACGAGTTATTCAAGAAAAACACTGACCAATAAGAGGCGAACTCGGCTGGCGCGCGGCGACCCAGCCAACGAGCGCGCGGAGCCCGGTTCCGCTCATTGGCTCGGCCGTCTCGCGCCAAATGATCTCGCCATCTGATTGGTCACCATTTTTCGTTAGTAACTCGTAAACGAAGCCGCGGATCGCATTTTCGCTAAGGAAAAAGTTGCTTCAAATGACCTCAGGAATCCCCTACTTTCGGATTGCGAGACATTTTTGGGACAGCCTGTATATTATAAGTATATATCTATATTATAAATGTATGTATGTATACGCGTGTATATGTATAATTATGAGAGCGTCGAGAAAGAAAACCCGCGATCATGGAGATGCTTCGAAAGTCTTCGATTTTTCTCCTCGAATCCGTTCGCGGTTGAACAGATTCTGAAACGAGACGATGAAATTTCAACGATTCCCGTTCGCTCGGCGGAACTTAAACGGTACGTTTCGATCATGGCAGTGTGAGTTGCGGACAGTCTTGATTGGTAAACGAGATTTCGCACGTAATCAGTGATTTTCGAAGCATCTGTACAGGCTGACCCAAGCTGGAATTTTGAGACAGGAGGGAGTGTCGATGCTTTCAGGATCTGTTTTTATCTTGTTCGAATATTCGAGAAATATTAGCCGAGAGAAGCTTCGGGACGACCTGCACGATTCGAGACAACGCTCGGCCACTGTCGAGCAAGGCAAGCAGCTCGTTTGGACTCGACGGGAGAAAGAACTAAAGTAAAATCGAAATATCCCGATCGAACCGGCTCAAGCATAACATACAGAGAGAGGAACCTGCGGGACGTGGATCGGTCGGTGGTGCGTTGGACAGGCGCCCGAAAGTCGCCTAAATGCAGATGCAGATAAACATGTCCAACAGGATACCGGTCAGAGTGTCCAGGTTCCGGTCTAGCTTTCCATGAGCCAGGGAATCGCTGGTGTTCGTTCCGCGACTGACCGTGTCCAGACGAGCTCCGACGATCCAGTCCATGAACTGCTCCTCCTTGTCCTTGTCGTTGCCGGCTACCTCGTGGGAGTAGAGAGCATCGTTGCGATTAGCGTTCTGCATGTTCTGCAAGCAGAGTTTGCCCAGCTGACTGGTCGAGTAGCCAACGTCCGCCTCCTTGTTCCCGTTTAAGCGTTCCTGTTCCCGTTCCTGAGCGTTGCTGGAAGGATCCGGGGGCTTGGTCTCGACGGAAGCGTTGCTCTCGCTGAGGTCGTGGTATTTGGTTTCGTCGGGAAAGCAGCACTCGGTCGAAGGACTAGCTTGCGGCTCCTTCTCAACGTTGCCGTCCGCCCTGTTCGGCGAACCGTCCTCCTCGACTTTCTTCGCGCGAAACGTACTGTCCTCCGGCTTGGCTGCGACCTCCTCTTTGTCCGTGACCACCGAAGCCTGCTGCTGGGCGCAAGAGGCTCTAAGCACGAACAGCTCGTTCTTCTGATACTTCTGTAAAAAATACTCGCACTTCTCCTGCACACTCTGCGGCCGTTCGTATTTATTTCGTCGCCGGATCCTTCGTTGCTTGATTAAAAAATGCCAACTACGTCGGACGCGCTGGAAGAAGTTCGGTCGCCTCTGGGAAGGCGCTTTGTTCGCAGAGGTGTCCACCGATTTCTTCGACCGTTGCGAGTAGTCCAGGCTTCTCTGCTTGCAGTTGCAGAAGGTCTTCGGCCGGTCGTCGAACAGAAGCACCAGTCTATTCAAGCGAGACAGGTCGACGCTCCTCCCCACGGACTCCAGGCTCCTGTGGGCCTTCTTCTCTTTGCTGGCGAACGAGAAGTTCTTCCTGGGCTTCGAGGAAATCATTTTCTTGAAGAACTCCGTCTCTTCGTCGAGGAACTCCACGTTGCCCGAATGACGTCGCGCGTCCGTACGCCGACAGCTTTTCTTCTTCTGCCCCGAGTCTCTGTCCACGCTGCCGAAGCAGTTCAACGACCCGGCGGAGACCGCGCGATCCTCCTTACGGTCAGTCTTGGTTTTGCCGTCGAACGTCACCACCTCGCGATCCACGTCCTTGTCCGCCATGTACCAGGAAAAAAAATTGCTACGGTTGTCCAGCTGGGGACTAGATTCGCGCAGTCGGCTCATCGGCTGGTAGTCCCGGTTAGGCGACCCGGCCGCGTCCCGCTGGCCCAAGCTCAAGCCGGACACGTCCAAGGACCCGACCTCTGGCGTTACCCTAACCGGAGACGATTTGAACGTACTGAACTGACAGGGGGTCGAGCGTTGCTGCACGAGCATCTCGCTACCGCCCGGCTGCGCGTGACTAACTACGAGCTGCGTTTTTCGCTCCGCGATCCCTTGCTGCTGCTGACCGCTAACCGATAATTTTTGGTAGAACTGGATTTTACCTTGCAGGTCAATCTTCTCCTGATTGTCCTGATCGCGGCGAGCGTCCATCACTTTTTGCCGAAGACTTCTGAGGTTCGAGGTCGTGCCCACCGCCGGACCCACCACCGTCGTCACCGACGCGTTCGCTAGACACTGCCGCGTGTAGGGCCTGGAATAAACACCGTGATTAGACACCGTGAACCGCTTCGACGATTTATAGCATTTAGCTTGACTACTATTTCGAGACTGTCTCGAGACAATTTCGAGCCAATCTCGAACATCCGATTTAATCGATTCGCTAAGAAACTGTTCACCGAAGTGCGACAACGTACAACGCTTTATCTATAACTTTCGCTACAAAATATATGGAGGTAAAATTTTCATTGGCATATCGTTGGAGGATTAACCAATTATGTAGTTCTTTCTTGACCAACTCGTACCATCTTCAACGGTCGACGTTGATCAAGAGACAGATTAGGATTCCGCGATCCGTAGGCGGTTGTGTAATGTCTTTAAACGCATCATGTTGTTACTAAACTGGTGATTGTATGAAAATTCAATTAATTCACATCGATCGTTTATCACTGTATTTTATTTGCACATATTTACATGTCAGAAGACGATATATCGTCACTTACAAATAAATTCGTGGCTCTCGATACGTTCTCGTTACAATGTTCGTGATAATCGTCATAATCTTCAGCCCTAGTAACAACATGACTCGCCGAGGAGCGTCGTAGCGATCCTTTGCAGTACGGAGGACAGACGGAAACAAACATACCACGCGGTGCGACGGCTCTCGCAACGCAAACGACGCAAAACCTTGATCCGATTCGCAAATTACAATCGCGATTGTAACCATAAAGTGAAATAAAAATAATATAAAATATAACAAAGGAAAATAAAAAGGAAAGCGCAAAGGTTTATACTGCGGGGATCTGGATCCCTAAGAAGAACGCGGTTCTTTTTTGCCATGATCCCACGAATACCTTCCGGTACTTGCCAAAATATTGTTACACCTCTAAGGAGGACGTATAGATAGACACGTTAGAGCAAAACACACCTGTGTAATCGTGTTCGAGTAATGATCTTTTAAAGATAGAAACAAAATAACGTAGCTGATCCTTTGATGCCAATCGTCCAAGAACTCTCTCTCTCTCTCTCTCTCTCTCTCTCTCTCTCTCTCTCTCTCTCTCGAGGTTGCTCTGGTTCTACGCAGATTCGCGTGTAACGGGGTTACCTTTACAACGGCGTTGGCTGAGACAAATCAAGGGATCGTTAGAAGAAAAATAAATCGAAGCTGTGGAATACAGGATTCCTTGCGTATTTGATTATTTCGTTTGTTCGAACGCGCGTATATTTCCCGATTCATTGACCCAGCCGGCGAAAATAGAATTTGCTGGGTAATGAAATGACCATGCTATTTATACGCATGGAAGGACGGTGGGCATGGCAGTAAACCGACCGCCGACATGTTCATGTCTGATTTCGTACGCGGGTCGTTTGCGCGGAGGTCCTTCTTAATTCGGATCGGTCGAACACCAACCTTGATCGATGTTCCTGATCGTTATTGGTCCCGGAGGGCAGCCCCGTGTTCGTCTGCTGCGAGTGCATCGGCGCCTGTTGCGCCGACGGCAACGTCGGTTGCCTCACGTTCCCAAACTTCAACATGTTCCAATCGAACACGTAGTCGTAGGTGAACCCCTGTCCGTGGAACAACGTCCGAAACAGTTGTCGAAGATACGAATAATCCGGCCTCTCTTCGAAACGCAAGCCTCGACAGTACCTCAGGTACGATGCGAACTCTACTGCAATGCACGAGGTCGTTACTTTAGCATAAGGTCTCTTCCGATGTACCTTCGAGGTATTTCAAGCCGACTGATTCGTCAATTTACCAGGATAACCCTTGCACAGCTCCTCGACAGGCGTGGACATCTTCTTTTCCGAGATACGCTCGTATTTTTGCCTTTTGGTCGCCGCTTTCAGACCTTGCCAAGGTAAGCTACCCCTGTTGAAGTACATCAGGACATATCCCAGAGACTCGAGGTCGTCCCGCCGTGATTGCTCAATTCCCAAGTGTGTATTAATGCTCGCGTATCTGTTCATCGACAAAGGAACGGCTTCAGTAATGTTTACAAAAGTGAATCGGTATAAAATTTAGAGTTTAATTGGATCGGAACGGAAGAATTTTCAAGATTTCTTCTGCTGGTCAGCAGGTTGCTTGCGATCAACGAACCTGGCTGTTCCCGTCAGATTTTTGTTCTCTCGGTAGGGTATGTGTTTGTGAGTGCGGCCATCGCGATACTTCTTGGCCAGCCCGAAATCTATAATGTACACGAGATTTCCCTTCTTGCCCAGTCCCATCAAGAAATTGTCCGGCTTGATGTCTCGATGGATGAAGTTGCGACTATGCGTGTAATCCGTTCTACATATCTGAGGAGAAAGAAGATAAGAATCGTTGTAACATCGTGTAAACATTCCTACTCCAATTTCTCAAGATAGATGATTCTAGCAATTAATGCGTATATATAAATTATGCTTTTTCAATGTTGTTATACATTTGACAATTACTATATATATATACTCGGCCAAAACTTAATTATTTTAAGTTTAACTATTAATTGCGAATTCGAAAGCGAGAATCGAGTATATACGATTTAAATGAACTTTTCAGGGATATGCTTGTTTTTTTCCTGAACTTGTTCTACGTTTAGATCAACACCAAAATAGTTCATCGCTGGAAAACATTTTTCTTAGAAGCAGAGTTTCGGACACTAACTCGATCTCCTCTTTAAAACACTGTTTTTGTCGAGACCATCCAGTCTTATTATCAGCCACCGACTGTGTTCGCTGATAAGAATGTTACTCGTATTGTAATTTATTTCACCAAAGGAGAACAGACTAAAGACTTCTTGCACATAATCGGAATATGAACTTTGAACGGTACAATACATTGCACTTAAATGGTTACCATAAATACGTACAAAGATAAATTTTAAGAGCAGATGAAACTGCACGCATAATCTTTCAGCATTTATCGAAGAATGAACTAATGCGAGTACTTAAAAATATGTAATGAGAGTTCATGAATTGCAAGCAAAAATCTTGTAAAATTTTGTATTGCAAAGCAACGAGTCAAGAATCGATAAACATATGGAAGAGTCTTCTATAAACAAATAGCATAACAGGATGAAAAATGATTATTACTTACCAATTGATCGGCGAGTAGCAACACTGTTTTTAAAGAAAATCTTCTCGAACAGAAATTAAACAAATCCTCCAGAGATGGTCCAAGTAGCTCCATTACCATCACATTGTAGTCACCTTCTGAACCACACCATTTTATTGTAGGTATTCCAACTAGAATATTACAATAAAATTATCGATTACAACGAAGAACAAAACCAGAATCGTATACAATCGTTGCATACAATGTATACAGGACTGTGTCATAATTAATGCGCAATAAATTGATAAATAACTCTGTATTTTCTATTAATATGGAATAGTTGTTCCTACATCTGCCAGTTATAAATATTTAACTAACTAACGTAACGCATCTCAATATGATATTATCACAAAGGAATACTTATGCGACCTTCTCCTTGAAAGAACTCTTGCTACAACAATACTGTATGTGCTGCTTTAAATAGATTGAGGGTCATCCGTTGTTGAAACAGCCTTAAATGATTTACAGGAAAAATATGTACCGCAATAACATAAATGGCTCGTAAAGTCAGCTGTTCGAACAACAATAACAACAACAACAACGACATACTTAAAATAGTAGTAAACATTTCGATACTATTCAAAAGTTCATTGTCCTGAAATTGCCTACCAACTATTAAATCGTTTACTCGAATCAAAGAAACAATTACTCGTCCAAGTAATAAATCACTGGTAAGCCTGTCAGAATGTATCTGCACAGGTAAGTCTATAAAATACACAAAGGTATTCAACCTTTGTAATACCTGCTAAAGGTGCCCTATCGTAAAAAATCCGGCAATACAAAGAAACCTCGATAGAGTAGCTGTGCCTATATACAATTTAACTGTTAAAGAGTCATAAACTCGTATAAACATTATAGGCCTCGCCACAAGTTGCAAGTAAACATTTACGCTTCTGCAACGCTAAAATCTCCGACAGAAATATGTAATCGTTAAAACGGTAAAGTCCATATTACATTGTCACAAAGAGGAACGGAGACCAGGGCAGGGGAAGAAAGGAGTAGCATGGGAACCGACGTCGTAGTGGGGGGGAGACGAGAGGGGACAGAGCCGAAGAGGTGGGAGAGAGGGGGAGAAGGTTCTAGTGGCCGGAGTCTCAACCAGCTGTCCAACAAACAAACTGAAAATTCTGACGGTTCGCGTCGACAACAGGCGGGTTTCGAAATATAATCGTGAGCCACGACCGACATTCCATAGGACACAACGGATACCATCCGAAAAACTTTACTCACCGCCTCCTTGCATCATCTTGTAGAACCTCGATTCTATGTGTAACTGTGGATGCCGCGTTTTTATGCATTCTAGCTTGATAGCGACTTCCTCGCCGGTGGAGATGTTGGTACCTAAAGAACAACGACAAAAAGGCCATATCAAGGCCCGGTCACACGCGGTTACTCGCAAACAAAACCAACGAAACCAAACCAAACCAAATCAACTCAACTCAACGCAAACCAAAAATCGGTAGAGTAGTGTTTGGTGATGACGGGAAGATGGGTTGGGGGGCACGGGCAGACAGCGAACGTAAATAGAGACAGAAACGAGATAACGGGGGAAGAAAACGGTAACGGGGATGGTGAAAAACGTGTACGCGTGTACAACGGGGGAGTTGGCGCGTTCATGCGTGTCGTAGTCGTAGGGCAAATATGTGGCCGACTGGCGTGAGTAGGTGGGCTATACGCTGTGCGGTGTATACGTGCGTCTATGTGTACATAACGTGTGTGGGAGGGAAGCAGGGGGGTGCAGGAGGGGGGCCACAAGTAAAAGGTAAACGTCGAAAAGGGAAACAGGCAAACAGAGAGAAGTTACCTAGATAAATGTCGCCGAAGGAGCCGCTCCCGATTTTCCGTCCGAGCCGGTACTTATTACCAACGCGAAGCTCCATCCTCGAGGCTCGCGGGCCCTCGCGAAGAAAAGTGGCACGGGGCAAGGAAAGGCGACTTTTAGGCAGCCCCGACTCGAGGAGCGCTCTCGCGCAAGAGGCTCCGTTGGCGGTGGTGCGGCGTTTAAACGAGACCTGGCCACCGTGTTACAAACCGGACGGGGCCTCCATGTTTAATCGCGTCGCCGTTCGCGGACCTACGGGCATTTCTTCGTCTTTCTCTCCTCGAAGGAATCGCTGGTGCTCGCGGTGGTGGTGCTGCTGCCACTTCTTCTCGGTGCAATGGCGGCCGCGCTGTCGATGGCGCTGCGGTCGTTCTGGTAGTCGCCGTTGTTGTTGACGGCGCTGTCTCCGTCGTCGTCGTCTCCGTCCTCGTCGTCGTCGTAGTCACTGCCAGACAGAGATCACCGCGACAGGGAGCACCAGCACCGATCACCGTACCAAGACTCTCGTGTCCGAGACGATTGCCCCCCACGGGGGGCGGCTGACCGCTCGTCCCTGTATTTCGCGAGCCTAGTAAACACGGGAATAAGCTGCGACCGACAACACCTCCGGATCTAGCAGAGTACTTTGATCCGGGCTGAACAGCGCCAAGTACCCGCCAATGGGAGCGCGAACCGCGTAAGGGCATCTGCCCTTTCGCTGCGACCTGCGACGATCACTAACGGACACGGAGACCGAAACGAACGGCAGAACACCAGTTATGGCCGTCCCACCAACCACACCGATTCGATCCTTTTCACCCCTCTCTCTCTCTCTCGGCGGCGCACCGTCGATCCGCGAGAACCAGATCTCTCTCGTTTTTCCCGTCGTGTTTTACGAAGCTACCGACGACCGATCCCGGACTAAACATTCGCGCGAATTTATCATGACACTCTATAATCACTTTCGCTCACTTTCTACGACGCCGTTTTACTGAACAAGTCCGTATCCTCAGTGTCGCACGTCGCACGCTCACACCGCCACCCGATCCCCGACGTCGCACGAGTGATCGCGATCGAGCACGAACACCCGAACGTGCTCCTGCTCCTCTACGGCTGGCTCCCTCCGAGCTCCGGCTCCGACACGCCTGAAAAACTCACGCGTCATCTGGCGAATACGGTAAGAATTAACCTTGATCGCGGGCATGTCTCTGCGAGCAACACTGTTCCCGATTAAAGATTGTCAGCAGCTCCGAAATATGCTTCATGATTTCACAGAATTCGCGAATTACAATCCTTAGGGTTTCACGGTAACGATGCGTTGGTTCGCTAAGATTATTACAAACTTTCCTGTATATACGATATGGAAAGGTTAGACGATAATTTGCTGTTTCATGGAACGAGTGCGTTCGATTAAAAAATAACAGTGTAGTGTTCGGACATGTGCTCCGAGTAATTACTTATATATTAAAATATTTACATCTGTTGCATTCTATGTCTGCATTCGAATAAAAATTAGCCTGATTTTGAATCGTTGGAAATCTTATTTAATGATTTTTTACATTACTTTTCATCGATCTAATGCTAATTTTTTGGATAATGTGTGTAGAAGCGATCGAAAATTCGTCGTATGCTTGTAGCACAAGTAACTTTTTATTCAACGTTTGTATGGTGCGGATTTTGAAAGACGTTCTCATGAATATATTATGAAATAGCAACACGATCGATCGATAGTCCCAAGTATATAAAAACATTTGCTGTGACTTTATGCTTAATTTGAATCGATTCGATTGCGAAATATCCAACATTTCCTTCGGTTGAACAAAATATGGATCAATTGCACTGAAATAGAATGTAAAATTAATAATTCTCTTAAAATACAAAATTTTTATTGTATTCTGAGTCCGATAAGATCTTGTTACACAGAATAAATGTCTGATTCGAAAGATCTTTTTACATAAATATCTGAAATACGGTAACATTTCGATGGTTTATTCTCTACTGTTTGACATTTCTATTTCACTTAAGTTTAAAAGGAAAGAGGAAAGTCAATGAGATAGCGAATTATGTACAAGATGAATAATTTGCAAAAAAAATATGTAATACAAGTTTTGAGAAAGTGTAATACATGTTTGGTACTTTCTAGTAAATATTTATTAATTTGTCAATGTGTGTGTGCTTATTCTTCATAAGTACAAACTGAATCCGCTCTAAAGTGACGTAAACTAAATGCACGGAATTCTAAATTTTATATGTATGTATATAGCATGAAATAAAGC